CATCTTAACTGGCGCAACAAAACCAGTTTGTTGAAGGAAATACTTGCATTCCCCAAGACGCGACGTCGAACGTCATTACTGGTAAATCGATGTTGCCACCGAACACGAGCGATCCTCCTTAAGCAACCGTTATCGAACGCAGAAAGACGACGCATGTCTTCCACGCGAATCGGCCAGGACTCGCTCCCATACAACAATACTGAGCGAACGGACGCGCTGTAAACTCGGCCCTTTAGTGAGAATGAGACGTCGCGACGACGCCACAAGTGCCTCAGATTGACAAATGCTGATCGAGCTTTAGCGATACGAAGCGAAACTTCTTTGTTGATTGTGCCGTCAGCGGAAACATAGCTCCCAAGGTAGACGAAACTATCTACCTGTTCAAGTTGTGCACCTTGGAGAGTGAGCACGGGTGCAGGTGAAAGCCAATCCTTGAGCAGTACTTTACACTTCGATGGGGCGAAGCTCATGCCATACTTAGATGCTTCAACCGACAAACGATCCAGAATGAGTTGCATACCCTGAGGATCGTCACCAAGTAAGGCGATATCATCAGCATAATCTAAGTCGGTCGCGCGCTCACCCGGTAGAAGCTCTAGACCAAAATGTTGGAAACCTTCTAGGGCATTCGACAGAACGTCTTCGATTGCGAAGTTGAAGAGGAATGGGGACATAGGGCAGCCCTGTCGCACACCGCTATTGACAGCGAATTGCGAGGAAAGCTTGCCATAGACCCTCACTCTGCCGGATGTGTGAAGGTAAAGTGCTCGTAAGATGGCGATATATTTCTCTGGCACCCCGTTCTTTAGTAAGCAACGCCATAAAGCAGGTCGATCAACGGAGTCAAAAGCGGCACGTATGTCTAGGAATGCAACGATAGTGGGCCTGTGATAAATGTGGCGATGTTCAAGGAGTTGGCGGAGCGTGAAGATTTGATCCACGCATCCGCGGCCAGGACGGAAACCAGCTTGTTCTTCACGGTAGTACGATTCACGTACTGGGGATAGTCTACGAAGTAGAATGGATGCCAACAGCTTAGAGGCAACCGAAATAAGACTAATCCCGCGATGATTTGCACATGAAGTGCGAGCGCCTTTCTTGAAAATTGGGACAATAACTGATTCGCCCCAAGAGGGAGGCACTTTCTCTTCATGCCAAATTTTTGCGAACAGCGCGGTTAGCTGGTTAATGACTGCCACACCGCCATACTTGAATAGCTCCGGAGGGAGTCCGTCTAAGCCGGCAGCCTTGAAGCGCTTCAAGCGTCGAATCTCGAGGCAGACTTCTGCTTCGCTGGGTGGATTCAATGGGACTAGCCAAGGTGGACAGCAAGGTGTACTGCATGTACTGATGGATGGTGGAGGCCAGTTGAACTGCGAGTGAAAGTGCTCGGCCCAGCGGTCCATACGCCTCTGTTGGTTGGTGATCGGAGACTCATCCAGCTCACAAATGACCTCACTGACACCAGGCTTCCTGAGGCCAGTGGACCGAATGAGTTGGAAAAGCCTGCGAGTGTTACCAGAGAGGGCAGCAGTCTCCATCTCTAAAGCACGCTCAGACCACCATGTCTCGCGATCCTTGCGGAGGCTTTGCTTAAGCAGCCGGTTGGTAGAACGGCGCCGCTCGTTGCAATCTGATTCCGCGGAGATATCTTTGCGGCGTTCGAAGAGCTCCAGAGAACGAGCAGAGATCCAAGACTTCAAAGGGCGTCGAGTTAGACCGCAGTATGACTGTCCGGAAATGGTCATGGCTTACCGTATACAAGTCCAGTGTTGTTCCACTTCTCGCGGTGGATTGCAACTGAGTGCATATGCCAGTGAAGACTGATAGCTCTCCTGAACAGAGGAATCAGTTAATCTGTTTACATCAATCTTGCGGTGCTTTGTGTTTCGGGATCCTCCAAAACACATACAGATTTTCGCGCAGACCAGAGCATGATCTGAATCAACGAAGGTGGACCAAAAGGACCTGCAGTCCAGTACGCTGTCGCGCCATCTGAAGCTGATCGCAATGTGATCAATTTGAGACCAAGGTTGTGTTGGCGAAGGGGGACGCCAAGTTGCGGAACGCTTCTTCGTACGCCTGAAGCTAGTGCTTGAGAGAAACAGACGGTTGTCCTCGCACAATGTGAGAAGTCTCTCTCCATTATCAGAGCGGTTCTCATCGAGCGCGTGATGACCACCAAGGTGGCGTTCGTATGGTAACAGGCGGCCAACCCGTGCATTAAAATCCCCAGCAAGGATAACGACATCCGACTTTTTAGCATTAGTCAAGAGCTGTTGTAGATCTCGGTAGAAATCGTCCTTGACCGAGTCGCTACTGCAGTCAGTTGGAGCGTACACAGAGATCACAAACAAGTTGCGTCTCTCTTCGCGTTGCCTGTTGATTCTACATGAACCCCGAAGCTGAACTGCACATAGTCGGCTGTTAATCGGGAACCATTCCAGTAGTGCCGCCTCGGCCTTGCCACTCAGTGCTATACCTACACCAGCCAAACCCGCTGAGCTTGCTTCTGGATCTCCAGAAAGACGCAGGTGATATCTGGCTTCGTGGTCAGTGGGGGATGTCAATGTAAGCACAGTGCTGGGATCTTGCAATCGGGTTTCTGAAAGGCAGCAGACATCAATGTCTAGGGAATCTAGGGTGCGCGCTAGACCGGCTTGCTGTCCAATCTGCATGAGTGTCCGGACGTTGAAGCACGCCAGACGGAACGAGGATCGGGGACGAAGGAGAGCCATAGGTTGAATTCCTTGATCTGCGGAGCAACCGGAATCGCAGCCAGATTGTTGAACAGATGAATCGGGTAACCGAAAGTGAGGATTGTTAGCAAACAAACAATTGGCGTGTGATGGAGTAGCGTGAAAGTGAGTAGCAGGAACAGTAGCTGATGAGCGCGTTGTAGTGAAGTCCATGGTTTTGTGAGAGGGCGTGATACTACCCGGTTGCCCAAGCCGAAGTAGGGAGTTGACTTAGGGGACTCCACCCCGAGCCTTTGGCTAAATAACCTACCCGCAAGGCAGCGGGGCGAATTTAGGGAATCGCGCCCATTGGGAGGCGTTGACTGAATGATCAGCTCATGCGCCCTTGTTTGGTAGATTACCAAACAGGGGCCCAATACTCCCCATGAAGTCAGCACAATTGCTGGAATACAATGCCCCACGGAGGTGGAACATTGTCGCCGAACACTTTGCTGGAACGGGATACACCCGAACCACCCAGCTGGCACCACGGGGAGGTAGTTCGGCAAGCCAGCCAGGGGATTGCATGCTTTTACTGAGACACCTGAGATGGCTCGGTCATGTGAGCCGTATAGTTTCAACGCGGATACCGAACAAACTCTTTCATGGTCAGCTAAATACTGGGAAGCGGCATGTGGGGAAACCAAAGTTACGTTACCAGGACACGATTAAAGTGAGCCTCACACGTTCCAACCTTGATTGCAGATCATGGGAATCGAAGGCGGTTGATCGGCGTGCATGGCGCGATCTAATCACGAAGGCAGTTGGCGAAGTACGGGAGAAAGACCTCATACATGCAGAGAAGAAGCGGCAGATGTGGAAGCGGCAAGCACCGATGGGTTGTACTCCATCGACATCGAGGGCATGGCGCGGTATCACATGCGGTCTCGAGTGCCTGAGTCAGGCAGGCCTAATGAGCCATAAGCGAGGCCACTCGGGACCACTACCGAAGCGACGACAGGTCCTGCAGAGAACGTAGGCGGAACCGGCGCAGCGTTTGTAGGCACACTGCATTTGATTTACTAACCGCGTACTTGCATGCTAACTCCCTTTATTTCAGGTGGTGGGTTTGCATTTTTCTCCTAATGCTTTTCTTTCTCAAATAAATGTCCACCTGTACTCTCTTCTCTAAACTTGCACACGTCGCTTAAGCTAAATGTACTTAATTTCGATAACATTTTCGTGTTTGTGACATTTCCGCAAAATATACTTTCTGACCTCGTGAACTTATCTCGGATTCGTTTGTAAACAACTGATTTCATTTGCTTATTAATTTAAGATTTATGTCACCGGTTCCTTATGCATTACTCGAGTTACTTTCTTTGTTATCTTTCTCCCAAGTGATGGGCTGTTGCTTGCTATCCCCGGTGTGACTGCGCTTGATGTGCATGTTGATAATGTGCCTACCTGTCTAGTACCCACTACCTCGTCCATACTGGCTCTAGGAGACAGTTGGTCGTTGCTGGAGGGGACGGGATACACTGTCCTTGTGGCCGTGTTAAGATCAAAGAGTGGTTCCATGCACTCAGTGTGGAGCGGACTACGGTCCAGCCACCGCCCTGTGTGTGCGCTTGATTCCCCAAATATAGCGTGCTTGTGTTTGCTTGTGAAGGAGTGTGGGCCGGCTCCGTTGATGAAACCTGGCTCCCATCTACATGCCTCCCGGTCTTATTCCTTCTGGTTTACACTGGATATGGGGTGTATGGTTGGAGCCGTGGGTGGTGCAGCGCAAGCCACCCATGGTCCCTCTGTAGGCGCAGGCGTCCTGTGGCTGTCCACAGTGACAAGCAAATCCGAAACCGGATGCCGCCAACCATATATATATATATATATATATATATATATATATATATATATATATATATATATATTCATATATACATATATATATATATATATGACAATGGAAGATCAGCAGTGCTGTGTCGCAGTTAGATATTAGTCATAGCGCTCCGCTGCCGTCGCCCGTGGCTCAGTGAAATGAGTCAATGGCTCGCAAGCGTATGGTCGTGTTTTCGGATCCGGTAGGATTCAGCGGTTGCGCCCTACTGAAGAGTCCCAATGAAACGAAACGGCAGTCTCGCGCTTTCCTGAATGTGTGGTGGCTCTCTGGCTGAATCTAACTGCAACGAAGCTTCACAAAATGTGCAACTTATTTACTCTGGGCTTCAGTTCCCCCTTTTGTGTGGATGTAGATTGTGAAGATTTGCCCAGTCGAGGTACGACTACTCACAGTGGCAATACCGGAATACGTCGGCAAGTGCGGAATACCGGTGTACTGCCGACACGTACTATGTCGTCGACAGCCTGTGGCGTGCCGAATACAGCGAAATGCGGGCGTGGACAATCGGGAAAATAGTGTTGGTAGAGCAAGAGAATAAAAAGAAGTGGAATCCATGTGTGTAAACAAAGCAGTTTGCTGACAATGATGCGTGGGTTGGAAACGACAAGACAGCAGTTGGGGACAGATCACAATGACAGCCAGTTGAATACCGCTGACAAAAACACACATGAAAGTTGGACAAATTGCCTCGGATTGCAAAACAATTGAGGAAGATGTGCAGTGCAATTCCCTAAATGTTCTCGGTGGTGGTGGTGGTGGTAATGTTGCATTAGAGGCATGTATGTAACTGATGAATAGTGCGAGCGTCACACGTGACCCAGTATCGACGAGGGGAAAGAGGGACGAAAGAAGAGCTACAAAGCAGGACGCCATAATATGCTACTATAGTAGCAGTACGTGGGCACGTCAAAATATAACAAATAAAATACGGTATTTACAAGCTGGCGCTTCGTGTGCCACACCTGATATTATCGACAGATTAAAAAATAAACTCACGCATTTGTGCTACTCACAGCAAGAATAAAGTGGTGAAACGGCGGACGACAACAACAGAGCGTAGTAGTAGTAGTAATGAAAGCATAAAAGCAACCAAAAAAACATGTTGGGTGATGTACTACTTGAAGGGAAATTCAGTAGCACTGGTAGCTACGTATTAGTACATAGAGGCTAGGATAGCAATAACAATAGTAATAATAGTAATATTCGTCATGATTACAACCCGTAAGCACAAAAGGCAACCGTCAGCCCTGAGAATAAGAGTAAAATGGTTGCCATAAAGCTGCGTAAAAATAAAGGTCATTGTCCTCATTGATTGATTCCGAAAACAACTACTGTGATCCCTGATTTGCATAACCCTGCCGGTAAGTACGCTACGTGTGTGTGCGCGCGCGCTTATGTGTGTGTGTGCACGTGTGGTTTCTTGAATGTCTAGGTAGCTCAAACAGTGGAGGGTGTTGGCAAGGTCACAATGCGATACATCTGCTGAATTGGTTTCGCAAAGTGATAATCCACTTTTGCACAGAAAGGACACGTGATGAGTTGACTGTATTGTGAAAAGAAGGGCAATGGGGAGGACTGAAGTGGACCGCCCGACTCTCCTCCTTTGGGGTTGCCATCCTCTCCGTTGGATGGTCCGCACAAGGACTCGGTCTCCTGGTCCGGGCAAACCGCTTGGTCCAATCTTTTACCGCACTTATTACAGGTTAGGTGCGCGAGACAACAAGGTGATGCAGCGAGAATATCGTACGTGTACAGGCCACCGACCAGAAGGGTTGAGCCTAATGAAAGAAGAAAACAATAGTGTTGGAGGATGCCTCAGTAACAAACGTCACTGTTACGCGTGCAAAAGAAATTTGTAGCAAGCTTTCAAGCATCCATGGATAAATGGTATGCGAAAGTAATGATTACCTCCATGTAGTCGTAAATGTATGGAGAATGAGAATATCTCGGATAACATGATAAAGCAAGCGCGAAATGGCCCATCATGAACTCATTTGCTCACCAGATGGTCTAACTTCTGTTGTTTTACTGAACCATTTTTATTGGGTCTCGGATAGGGCGGTATGTTCCCCTTTATGTCGCGGGCCAGCCTATTGAAACACACTATGCAGCACCACAAGAATCGGTTGTGTTTGAGAAGGGAAACAGGTTACAATATCCTCAGGAAATCCAAGCATATATCCATACCCTCATATTTTTGAGACCCTTACTATTTAATCTTTGCACTTGAACATATTATTATGCGAGAGCGTGAAGCATCTGGAATAATGTGAATCTAACTGTTCTTGGAAGTAACATCTCGAAAAATCGATAGATGTACTATTTTTTATTTATTAAAGATTAATGACAGTTGAATGCTTCCGAAAATCCAAGTAGATCACATCAGTGTCTTCTCCACCTTCCGATGACTCGGCCCACCTGCTTCGTGTTATTAGTAAAGTATGATGGTTTTCAAAGGAACCCGTAGTTTTCATGTGGGTCACCAACGCATCGGCACTGAACTTGGACAACACTAAAGTATATATAACGAGTGTTAGCTCGAAGTGTTGCATCGTGTTTTCCCCTTTGTGGATCGGAGTGATTATTTCGAGTTTCCACATGGCAGCAGCCTGGTTCTGACCCAAGCACCGTGGAAAATACTCAAGTACAGTAACTGCCAGTTCCTTTGCTGTTATGTACAGTGTCTTTGAGTGAACAGTGGGGAGCTTCCAAATCGCCCAAAAACCTTAATAAAAACGATAACAGTGTATGTTTATCGTGCTACTACGAAACCGTGCCCACAAAACGACGGATCGTATTACATGTGCAACATGCTCACGCATACAGGATTGTCAGTGGTTGGGGGTTATACAAGGATGCAATAGGTACGTTTCGGAAGATCATTTGGAGTTGTACTGTCGTTTTTCATCAAAAAACGAGCACTGTTTTTGATCCCGGTGTAGATCGTGGATACCACGGAGGCGAAGGGTTAGCGGAAAGAGAAGAGGAACGTGAAAGGGGATGAAGCAACTGGAGCCTCCACCGCAGCAGTTTCCAAGTCAGATAGTGCTCCACATGCCCGGAAAGGAACTAGATGGCCGATCGGTTGAGTCTCGTCAGGGTTACTCATCCATCGGTTACACACGGATCCAGATCCCTGACTACCGGCGGCTTGAATCACCAACTAGCAGCTTACGCCACTGTGCCACGGGAGACAGCGGCAGAAGGATATAACTTACAAACTAAATGCGTCCTAATAGTTGCATCCAGAGACTTCATTAATACAAATAGAAATCAGTAAGCAAGACATCCCCGACGGAGTTGTTCATCGTCAAACAAACACAGGGTAACCCGCAATAGACAAGTGTGCTATCTGAACAGCTTGAGTGAAGTCACGCAAAAACCTCACACTATGTAAGCATGTTGAACAGGACGTAGGAATCTGCGAAGCCGAAAGCGCTCTTGTAGTTAAGACACATACGTTGTTATTTTGCTGTATGTCCGTCGTTTTCGTGAAACAAACGTGTGACTTATGCAGTTCCACTCAGGTTGTACAACCGCTTGTCCTTCTCTCATCTGTGATTTGGAGCGGGGAGACGAGAAGGGTAGTGAGTAAATTTGACACCATCGATGGCAAGTTGGTTCCGCTGTGGATAACACTAAAGCCCCAACCGCTTGGTATGCCACATTTGGCTGTGGCCGTCTTCCTTCCATTCTGTTCGAACAGGTGAGTGGATTCTTTGCAGAGAACTACATCACCAACGACGACGTTAGGAGAATTTGGACCTGTGACCGGGATTCTAACTGGAATTCGGACGTACGTTCAGCTTAGCTGGTCACACCTCCACTCGTACCGATTTCAAAGGAGGCGGCGTAGGGCCGGTAGATAAGTAAAGCATTTCCGAAGGGGCTGTGCCCGTTATGAATTACAGTTGTCTTATTATCACAATGGTAGATGAATTGCTGGGATCAGAGACATAGGTTATTTCAATGGAACATTGATTTATAACGGGTAAAAAAGCACAGACTTAACATGACCAGTAGATTGGTAATAGAAGAAATTGAAATTGAAAGTATTACATAAGTGGACCAAATAAAATACGATTAAGCAAAGCGATAGAGCAATTGAGTTGACAGGGATGGTTATAAGAGTGAGATAGTACAGGCAATGGAACAAAGGTGTATTACAAGTGAAAAAAACAATGCTTAATAAGTTGCATGGGACGGAAATTATTGCAAAAATAAAATTTCATGTTAAAGTGAAACCCACATATTGGTGGATTCACCATAGACTTAAGTAGAATAGCGGAGATGTTCCCGTATTCAAAGTATAAACCCATTGGCTGGCATTTCGAAAAGACACCGTTTGATGGCGTTTTGTAGCCCCTGGCTAACAAGTCATAAAACGAAATGCAAATGAGACAACGCATCGTCAGCTCGCTTTTTGAAAATCGTCATATTAGGAGAAGGGACGAGATAACTAGGGACAGCGTTCCAAGGCTTGCATACTCAGAGGGAAAAGAAATTTCTACGGCATTCAAGCCAGCTATACTTTATTGTCATTTTCAGAGGATGACCACTTAAGTTAGTGTTATGGGTCGATACCACCAGCGGACGGCAAATAAGGTTTGGGTTCCTCAGAATCTGGTAAACCTTTATGAGATCAGTCCGCAAAAGCTGTTATCAACTGCTGTACATTCGTCGAGATTTCAGTCTAAGTTGAGATGGCAGATGAAAGAGCCTCTGTCGTTCTTGGTTGCCATTAGATGAGGAGGCTCGATAAAAACGAGATCTTGTTTCTGTCACGGCTGCCACGCCTAGACAGCATATTCCACGTGCGATCGCACGTAGGCCATAAGCATTTGGGGAAAGATTGAGGGTTCAAACCGACCGAACGCTCTGCGAAGCAGGCCGAAGTGTTGATTGCGTGTTCTCTCAGCCATCTCTGCTTGTTTTGAATACCCGAGATCTTCCTGTAACAGTACATCCAGGTCACGCTCCTGAGAAGTCTTCTTCAAGGCGTGGTCTCCAAGCTTGTAAGTGCTCACCGGCTGGTGACGCAGATGGATCACCTTGCACTTAGCGATGTTCAACTGAAGCAAGTTCCTTGATGACCATTCATAAATGCAGTCAAGGTCATGTTGGAGCAGATCGTGATTTTCATTGTTACTAATCGTCCGCCGTATCTTGACATCATCGGTGCAAAACAGAAAATTTGAGGAGCTAAATCTTACCAGCTCGTTGATAAACACCAGTAATAAGCGCGGTCCCACCACCGAGTCTTGTGGGACACCACATTCCACCTTAATCGGATTAGATAGAGACCCTCTAATACGCACTTGAAGCTTTCGTTGGTGAAGAAAGTTGCCAATCCAACCAAGAACAGGATTTCCGATTCCGTAGCTCTGTAGACGATGAAGTAGGATGCGGTGATTCAGACGGTCGAAAGCTTTGGAGAAGTCCAGATAGATGACGCCAATTCCGACCCCACCATCAGCCACTTCCGTCCAACTACCTCGTGCAATCAGCAGGTTGGTGGTGCATGAGTGGTTTTGACGGAAGCCATGCTGCTCCGGTGCCAAGATGTTGCATTTTTCCAGGTAGTTCATTAGAGCTTCAGCAACGACCGTTTCCATCACCTTGGTGAGCAGAGGGAGAAGAGTCACTAGGCGATAGCTTGCAGGATCTGAAGGGATACCGCCTTTAAAAATTATGTGGTAATGCCACGCTTCCACGCAGTGGGACTTCGATGAACACATCGAAGCAACTCTGGAAGAACTGTGAGAGTGATTCAGCTAGCTTGGTGGCCGCAGCCTTCAGTGTTTTCGGGCAGATGTTGTCTGCTCCCGGAGACCTATGATCGCGCAGTGAGAGTACTTCCTTATCACAATTGATGGGTTGAAAATTACATGTATAAACAATGGAGTCGATAATGTAGTTGACCGTGTGGGACAGAAAATTGGGGCGTATTGTAGCCGCAGGGCATTAGCGGCTTCTTCGGTGCTTTGTACTCTGCCGTCCATTATGAAAAGTGGTGGGATACCATGGTTCACTTTACGAAGATTGTTGACATGCCTATACAGCAGTTTGCTTCTTGGCAGGAATTTTTGGCTAGATACTTCGTCATCATGGACATGTGTAATGCAATGTTTGCGACGGGTCAGGAAATTGCTCTAAGTCTTTTGGTCGAGGTTAACGTTGTAGGCACGCCATGCTTCATCCCATTTCACCATAGTTTTCCGAGTCCAGCTCCACAGAATTGAAGGCATTTTGGAGGGACGAAGGGGCTTGATCTCTGACGCCCTGTTGGCGATGTCACTGAGTCTTTTAACGAGTTCTGTCTGAACGTTGTCAATTGGACAATTGTTTGAGAATTCCCAAGCAGATGCGTCGATGGGTTCTTTCAAGACGTGTTAGCGTGTGATTGTTTGAGTTAGTTCCGAGTGTTCAGATAAACACTCTGCATGACACACATAGTTGAACCTTATTACTACATGATCACTGAGACCTAATGGACTATGCATTAATAACTTGTCAACCATGAGCTCTTCATTCGTGAGCACATGGTCCAATATGGACGGTTTGTTTGCTGTCTTGAGTCTAGTGGGCGGACGATTGTACAAGAAAAGATTAGCGAGAAGTTCATGCAAGTCTACTTTGAAATTATCACTGGGTGATGCGGATACCTCCAGATCGTGTAGATTAAAGTCCCCGGAGATGAGAATATGGCTGTACTTAGTGCGTGTTATTCTGGTCAGGACACGTATCAAGCGGGAATCCTTTTCCGGAGTGAACGTTG